GGGATATGCAAGCAAGAACAACCAGTGATTCACTTCCCAGGGTTGTAAGGACCAAATAAAACCTGGTTTTGTAGGGGATCTAAGAGAGCTTTAAAGACCAAGAGGCTCGGGATGCCTCGCGAGGCAGCGCTCCTTGCACATCAGCTCCCCGGGTTGCTTTCTCCCCCGGTTCTGCTCAGTTGCGTTTCAAACAGCCTTCACCTTTCGGCAGCCCCACGCTTGCCTCCCGCCGCAGAGTCTCCCAATTATCCCCTGGCAGGAGCATTTTTCTCCAAGCTGAAATAAAAGGTGGCTGGCTCACCTTCGCCGCTGTCATGGGAAATAATGATCTGTCTGGAACCTTGTTGGATCTCGAGCCAGCCTGTAAATTTGGGTGATGGGGCTGAGGAATGCTCTGGTATTACCTGTCATGTCTCTGCCCCATCACCCAGCACCGGATCCTGCTCTCGATGCTGCCCTGAGGGTGGATGGTGCCTGGGGAAAAGCCTCTCTTGTCGGCCCGTCGGTGCTCGCACATCGCTTGCGGATGCTGGATGTAACGGGGACCGGAGCGCGGGTGCTCGGGGCAGCCCCTCCTGCCTCATCCCACACAGAGCCTCAGCTGATGGGAGCAGGGAGGTGCCTCGGTCTGTAAAATCCCACGCAGGGGCAAGGTGAGGTCTTGGCTGGTTCGGTAACGCCGACGCTGGGTATTAACAGCAGCTTTGGGTGCAGAATTGGCAGCGACTTGTTGGTTATGTGGGGGTGCGTGTGCCAGGGCTGTGGGGCACATTGACTCCTGCGGTGCTGCTGGTCCTGGGCACCCCGGCACGGAGGTGGCAGCAAGGGATGGAGCTGCTGGGTCAGCAGCTCCCGGAGGAACTGGCATAAAAGAGAAGGGACTTTGTCACCTGGAAATGCTTCTTCTCTGCTTGTTTCTGGTCCTGGCTGTGGCTGAGCGATCACTGGAGCATCCCGCTGCCTTCCTGAGCTCTTGCCCAAGCAGGTCTCCAGCCCTTGCCTTGGTCTCTCTGGCCAGGACATGTTTCTGTCTGGAAGGGAGATCTGAGGATGCTACAGGCATTAAATTCACTTTTTGTTAAGTAGGAGCGTGGAAGAGATTTAAAGGGAAGCCGAGGCACTGCCATATGAAAGAGATTCTAATTACCACAGCTAATTACAAAGAATAAATCCTCAGCTGGGAGGGGGAAAAGAGGGGGAAACAGCGTCAAAACTATGAATAAAATCAAACAGTTAAAAGTCAAATGAGGAGCTGTCAGCTCCCCCCCTCTGATGCTGGTGGATGGGACGGAGCACATGCATGATGGGGAGCCCCTGGGGTCTCCTCGGGGCGGGGGTTGTGGACCTTTTGATGGCATCTCTGGTGGCATCCAGTGGGCAGAGCCTTCTGGAAGGGTTTTGTTTTGATTTTTTTTAACCTGTTTTCCTCTTCTGGCAGCTGTGAAACCAGGACAGGCGTGTCGAAAGAATGATATTGTTCTGGAAATCCATTTTCCATACCTAGAAATGGAGCCAGGGGTGATTTGTGTTTCTGAGCCGCACTCTTCTTAGTAATTCCACTCAGAACTTTCTTTCTGGAGGGTTGGGGTTTTTTTTCCCCCCTTGTTTTTAATGTTGATGGCATCAAAACCTTCCCTTGCCAGTGCAGCTGGGGCAGCCAGGGGGAAGGGTCTGGCGAGAGGGTGAGTGGTCCCTGCCCCGGCATCCCCTCGCAGCATCCCGCTGCCGGCCGGGTGCCTCTCCCCGCACCAGCATCCTCCCCTGCAGAGGCTCAGGCACTGTTGGCTCCGGGAGCAGCAATCTTGGGCTGTAAATCACAGCCGGAGGGAGGTAATAGGGCTGCTCCGCTCTTATCTGGGGCTTTATTAGGAAATCGTTAAGCGGCTTTTCCTTCCTGATCCCCTACTTATCAACGGGAGGGGAAAATGGCAAATTGCATTCATGATGTGGACAGTCCAAGCAAGAGAAACCCATTTATTTCCCCTAACGGGTTTATCGCTAGATCAAGGGGCTGCTGAAGATGTAAGCACCGGTGGTTATTTCCCCAGGTGATGGATCTAGCTGCCACACAGCCTCCGGTAACCAAAGCACGCTGCCTGACAGGGATGTCTAATGGACCCGTGGTCGGGTCTACTGGCTCATGTATTTCAAGGTCTTGCTTTAATTGAGTCCTGTCTCCCTGGTGTCATGCTTTTTTTCTTTTCTTTTTTTTTTTTTATTTCCCCCCCCCCCCCTTTAGAAAGACTTCCCAAAATAAACTAACGCATTTAATCTCCTGTTCCCTTCCCTCATCTCTCCCTCCCTTTGGCAAAGCCAGAGCTATAAAGAAAGTTAACAAATTGAAAATCTGTCCTCAGACTTATTAAGTGAAAAGAGCAGTGAAATCTTTTGCCTTTTTTCTTTCTTTTTCTTTTTTTTTTTTCTGGTAGAAAGGACTTTGTGGAGGGGTGTGAAACCCCCTTTCAAAGCTATGGGGCTGAGCGGTCTCTTTCTTATCAGCTCAAGCAGTGATGCCCGGTGACACTCATTGTGGCTCATTAGCGGAAAGCCATTAAAACTCTGGATCGATATTTTCTCAGGAGAGATAGGGCCCATTCAATATTATTCCCCAGGCAAGCAGAGAAATAGCAACGAGGCATC